GTGAAACTTGCACGGGTGTGAAGAAGACGGCGCTAAACTGGCCCTTGGTCGTCTAAACTGAGTCACCAAATACCAAACAAGCACAGTTCGAGAATACTAGACAACCATCACTCGCCTGTTGTATCCGACATTCTTTTGTTCAGGTTGGCCGCGGAAAGGGAGGGTGATGCTAGTGAGAGCTCGCGAACTGGCCTAGAGAAGTTCAAAAAGGTTCTTGAAAAGAAGACGAATGTGAGTGAACGAAACCCTCGCTTGAGCTGCAGAGAGAAGGTTGAAGGTGATGTAAGGAGGAAAGAGGACGTTGAAGGTGATCCAATGGAGGGAGAAAGAAAGCTTCCAAGTTTGAAGGTGATGCAATGGAGGGAGCGGAACTGACAGATACGTGACTTGCGCAGATGCGGTTGAGAAGGGTTGAGGGTGATGCAAAAGACGGGACTGAAATCGTCCCAGTGCGTTTCAGAAAGATGGGTTTGCGAATGAAAGCGTTTCGATTGACATTCGATACGGTTGGTCAGGGTACTAACTCAAGGACAAGATCTGAGGGACGGTTAGGGAAAAGGCGCGAAACAGGGCCAGGCCTAGCCTCCTCCCTTTTTTTTTTTTTTTTTTTTTTTTTTTGGTGAGCATAAGTACACTACATGTATACATACACTCGCAGTCGTAACTGATTCTAGGAGGGCATGCAAGTGGCTACAGGTAACCAGGCCCCCCCTTCCACCTTACGGGGGCTGAAAGGCTACACCGCCATCTTCCCATATGGCCTTGAAACCTGCTCTCCACATCATCGAGGCTTCGGTCTCGTACAATCTGTTCAAAGCTTTTGCCTCGTCAGCATTCAGATGACTCCACTCCCCTGTCCTCTTCGAACCACTCTTGCCAGCCGACCGTTTCCGCACTCTGCTGTAAATCTTCACGTGTCTTGTAAAGCCAACCGCTATGTGCCTCAGTGCTCTCTTAGGCTGAAACCGGCTGCCACGGAACACCGCATTGCACCTCTCCAGCCACACTTGCTGCGCTGTAATTGAAATGATGGCTGCTTCCGGAAAACCTGACGACGTGCCACTCTTCTGGAACAACATGTCTCCGAGGGACTTCATTTCCCTGCCCGGGTTCATGCACTGTACCGCACCCTTCATTACCCTGACCACTGGCTGGATCGCCGGGCAGCTGAATAAACAGTGATCCTGCGACTCCACCCCTCCGCAGTACACAAATTTCGCCCTCTCCCCCAGGAAAGGGAGCCTCTCCCCCACTTGCAGGTTGTTGCTGTGCAGCCTCAGCACCACCTCCCTCGCTCTGCATGGGGTTGCCAAAGAGTCCCGGACCGTGATGGCCTTCCCCCAATCGATTTTCTTCCCTGTCACCTCCTCCCACCGCAACTGCTGCTTTGGCTGAGACAAAGAGGGTTTCATCGCCTTCCTCAGCTGCTTCAGCCCGGCTCGCTCCCCTTTTTCACAGATCGGAGTGTATAGCAGCCTTGCTCTCGGGGTTCCAAGCGGGCCGCGGACTCTCCCGTCAATGACCGCCATGGGCGTAGCTCGTAGGAAATTCACCGTCGTCACGTCAGCGTACCTCACCACCGATATGAAACCTTTTTTATCCACTTCCACCATCCTCCCGTACAACACGCCGTCTTCCACGTGTTCCAGCTGGTAGTAGAGGAACTTTCCCGGCCGGTAAGACGGTGAGCAAATAAGCGCCGTCTCCCTAAAAACCTCTTCCGCTGTCAATTGGTTGAGTAGCAAATCCCTCCACCTCTGGGGCGTTGCTTCCCATGCTTTGAGAGCCCACTTCCTCTGTTCCGCACCTCCCAGCTCCTGTTCCAGGACCACCTCACTTTTGAGACTTCTGCTGCCATTTGCACCTTTGGCTATCAGGTCCCCCAGACGGACACCCTTCAAACAGTGCGAGCCCGCCTGGTTTCCGAAAGGCGAACCGCCCCTGAAGAATATCTTGCGGTTAAAAAGCAGCTGCTCCTCCTCCGCATCCCATCTGTGTATAGGGTCGCCCATGGTCACGATCTTCGATTCCCACAGCGCCTTCACTGCCGCCTTCCACCTCGTACCCCCGCCCAGCCAATGCTTCAGCACTGAGGGATGGGCGTAAATCGTGGCCAGCCCGAGTGGGAAGCCGGCCGCTCTCTCCCATAACCAGTTCCGCAGCGGCACCTGTTCCGTCAGAACTTTTCCCAAATTCTGTATCACAATGCTGTCAATCCGCTGCTTCAGATCAATCACTCCCAGACCCCCTTCTTTCCTTCCCCTGCACGACAGCTCGTAACTCCAAAGGGTGAAGTGTCGATCAAGAAGCGCTCTTCCACCCGAGATGAAGTTGTGACATAGCCGTTTCACCTTGGTCCAGATATCATGCGGCGGGGCGTAGATCTGTGCTTGGAACAGCAAGATCGGCATCGCGTAGCTGTTAATAATTGTGACTCTCGCCGACGTCTTGAGATGCTTTGATTCCCAACAGCTCAGCACCGCGCTGACCTTTTCAAATGCTTTGTCCCATGCAGGACCCGGCGACCCACCAGATGTTATCCAGATTCCGAGTAACCGCTCCGACTTGTCCTTGTCAGCCCACGTGAAAGGTGACGCTATCGGCTGCAGCCTCCTCCTATTCTTCCCCAGCGGCATCAGTGTCGTTTTGCTGCTGTTCACCCTCAGCCCCGAAATTTCCGCAAATTCGTCGAGCAGCTTTCCCGCTGTAACCACTTGCTCCTTCCCTCTCAGAACGAGAGTCGTATCATCAGCGTATCCGATGTAGGCTAGCTCCCCCTTCACCCCCCGTTTCCGAACTCCCAGATTTCTCCTCCCTATTTCCTGGTAGAGTGGCTCCACCGCGCAAAGGAAGAGATACGGGGCGAGCGGACAACCTTGTCGCACACCCTTGTCCATCGCCACACGATCTCCTACCCGACCGTTCAGCAGCATCTTGGTTGCTGCTCCGTCGTGCAGACCTCTTACCCAGCGCACATATTTCTCTGGGAAGCCCATGTCACCCAGCGTCTTGAACAGGTAATCTCTCGACACGGAATCGTAAGCTTTTTGAAAGTCCACCAGCAGCAGCAGCCAATCTTCATCCTCCTCCTCCGCAGCGTCAATTACATCTGCTACCAGCGAGACCGCGTCAGCAAGGCTCCTCCCCGGAAGGAAGCCGAATTGCTTGTCCGAGATCACCCGCGGTAAGACGAGTTTGATCCTGTTCGCCATCACTTTCGCCAGTAACTTGTAGAAGAAGCTCAGCAAAGTGATCGGCCTATAATTGCCCAAATCACATCTGTCTCCTTTCTTGTGTAGCAGGATGGTGACCGCAGTTGTGAACGCCTCCGAGAGTACCCCGGTCGACTCGAAGCCCTTAACCTCCTTCATCACAGCCGGGCCGAGTAGCTCCCAGTGGTGCTAAAAAAATTCCTTCGGTAGGCCGTCTTGCCCCGGGGCTTTCCCCAATGGTAGACCCTTGAGCGCCGCTTTCACCTCCTCTTCCGACCATTCCGCTCCTAGTTGCAGTTGGTCCTTCTCCTGCAGCATTCTGCTTTCATCTATTGGCCACGGCTCCATGGTATGGTTTGGCGCTGACTCCGCATACGCTTCTCTGAAATGCTCTGAAGCCGCCTGCAACACCTCTTTCGCCCCTTTCCTTTGCACCCCCTTGAGTACTAACTCCAGAATCTCCGTCTTTGCCTTTCTCGATTTGACCAGCCCCGACAGAAAACCGGAGGGCGTCTCGCTCGCCAACTCCATCAGCAGCCCCGTCATGACCTGCAGCCGCTCCTTGTTACTGTCTTGATAGAGTTTGAGCGCTGCTTCAGCCTTGACCAGCTCCTCGTACAAGACTTGCGATTTCGCGTCAGCCATCACTTTCCACCGCAGCTCTTCCACCTTCTGCTCCAAATGTGCCAAGGTCGCTCTCACCCTCTTCCTCTCTTCTGCTACATGAGCCCGCATGCATGCTCGCAGGTTCATCACAAGTCTCTCCAGGCTTTGATCTGAGCTGCTCTCATGCGCCGCCACCGCCGCTGAGATGATGTTCTTGACCCCATCACCCCCGGGCCGAGACGTTTGGTGCCTCCACAAGCCAGGACAATGATCATCCGCTGCCGCCGCCTTGAGCGACACCTTCACCGCAAACCAGTGGTCAGTCAGACCGTAGGGTACCATACAATGCTTCGCCTCCGTTACACTTCCGAGAAGGGAGAGTGAAACTAATGCCCTGTCAATCCGTGTGCTCGTCCTTGCAGATCTGGAGAAAAAAATAAATTCCTTGCGCGTCGGGTGAAGACTCCGGAATGCATCCTGCAGATCCCATCTCGAGCAAATCTGCAGAAGTTTCTGGTTCTCCGCCGGAGTCCCCAGCTTCAAGGACTTATCCAGCTCCGGATCTGCTACAACGTTCAGGTCTCCTATGAGGACTGTATGGGGGGAGGCGTCCAGGCTTTGTACGAAGGGGGATAGCTCATCCCGGAAGAAGATACCCCTAGCGGTTGCCTGCGCCGGTAGATACGCTGCCACTATTCTGCACTTCAGATCCCGCCAGGATACCAGCAGGCTCAAGAGTCGACCAGATGCATGTTTGCTGACTTCTGTGAACCGCATCCCAGGCAGGAAGCCTAAGACCGCTACCCCTCCTGCTCTCTGCGATGGGCCAACCACCGCCTGAGCCTCTGATCTAATTTGCGTCCAGAAATTGTGATCGGTTGGAACACGCGTATCTGTGAGTACTACAATGCTCGCTGCTTTCCTGATCCATGCTGCACACCGTTCTTGTTTCCCACTGCTACCGAGCCCGTTGATGTTGAGCTCGAGAATAGTTAGGTTGTTGTGCTTATTCATTTGACCACTCCTTTGAGCCCCACAGCATCCACGGGCGATTGAGTTTTATTGCGACGATACAGCCAGCTACAGCGAAAGAGAGCATGGCACCGACTACACAACCTGCTCCCAGAAACCATCCTGTTGCCTCCCCCCCTCTCATCGAGGTGCACGTGACCAGGCCGCTGTTCACTTCGCTGACTGCTTGACAATGAAGTCCTTCTTGAAAGCAGCCATCTTCTGGGAATGCTTGCTGGCGCGGGTTGCCGCTCCTTCTGTTCGCAGACCCCCCTTGTGCTTGGCAGATGCAACGTGAGCCGCTGCTTGTTCGAACCGGTTCCCCTGTGCCTTCTCGCACACGGTCTGCACACACACCCACTCCTCCCGCATCCCTCCTGTGGAGGTGAGAATAACTGCAGGATCTTTCAGGATTCGTTTCAGGAGGCTGGTGGCTTTCAGGGATGCAGCTGCGAGGAACGGTAAGGAGAAAATTGTCAGGATAAGGTATGAGAAGTGGAGCAAGCGGTAAAAACTGCAAAGAAAAGGCGTGCGGATCAGCTCGGTGAGTACCGTTCATGTCATGAACCTTTTTAACCGACAGGTTCCAGTTGGTAAAATTCTCCTGTCTTGTCGTGACATAGTGGTCGTGATAGCGCGACATATGCGGACCACTGCAGAACTCGCAGGTGAGTGATGGGTAGTGGAGCAGGTAACGTCTCTTCGTCGTCGGCTCTTCCACAAAATACCTCCAGCGATACTCATCGTCGGCGTGGGGAACTACCAGCCCGCGAATACGGTCAGTATCGAGCCCAGAAACCGAGTCCAGCGTTCGGTGAAAGCCAAAGCCGCTGGCGAAGGCACTCCTGCCTCGCTTGACCAGCTTTGACACCACCAGCAGATGGCGAATAAGCTCCGCAGAGATCTCGGCTGGCACCCCCTTGACCACCACCTCCTGTGCCAACGGGTTCAGAACGCGTTCACGGAGGAAACGCGCATCTTCAGGGAACTGCCAGGTAAGATCGATGATGTCCCCATTCACACACTCATGCTTGATGACCTGGTTCCATACGAAGTTCGCATCTCTGACGTGGTTAAACGTGACTTGCAGCCGACCATAGCGTGTGCCAGAGAAAAAGGTCGCCGTGAGCTCCTGGTAGGTCGTTGTCTGCAGCACATCCGGAGTTAACTGGTCCTTCCAGTCATCCAACAACGCAGCAATCGTCACAGCCGCGCGCTTAACCTCCGCTTTCCTGAGGATCGGCACCAGCAAGGTTAGTGAGAATCGCTTCAAAGCCAAAGCACTGGAAAGCGAAGCAGGTTCCAGGTGCTCGTCCGAGCCATCGCTCAGATACCCATCGTCTTCATCCTCAGGGACCGGATCAGACAAGTCCTCTTCTTCATCATCCTTATTGTCCGTATCAGCAGCACCTTCCTTCGCCGGGCCCTGATCTTGTCCTTCATAATCAGCCTCGTCAACAGCGGTACCGTCACCAGGGTCAGCAGCATTATCCGCCTTGTTTTGCAGATCTAGCAGGTCTTCAAAAGGACCAAACACGGCAGGCGTCGCTGGTGAAATGGGCCGACTCTTGTCAGCAGCGTCAGGCACAGGTACGTCAGTTACGTTCGTCGCATGCTCCTTTCCGCGGCCACCTTCCTCCGTCTTCTTGCCAGCTTTGTTGTTACGCGGCTTCACCATTGTGCGATGATGAGAGAAGCTTGACAGCCTGAGACTGGCTGTAGGACAAGCTGATATGAGCACCAATATCTCCAGTGTCTTATATCTCCTGTGTTTAAAAGCGAACCTCTGCAGGTCCAGACCCGAGGCGACGAGAGCAACCATTGGGACTGGCCCACACCCTCGAGGAGAGTTATCCTTGGGAAATGATGTGTCGATTTCTGGGGTGTCATTGATGTCGACGCGACTGGATGAAAACGGTAGTAATGGCGCGCGATAGTATCCATGGAGAGGCTTGAAACCTTGATTGTTGTCGTTCAAAGTAAACTTGCTGGATGTATAGTGAAGCAAGGACGACAGCCTGGAACTCAAACAAATGGTGGTTAGGTTCCCGTAATGAACACTAAAAGAGCACCATTGTAAAGAGCCTGTAACCGCGCGTCGTCTGGTAACTTCAATGTTGGCATCAGGCAAGAAATTGATGGACATTGGGGTAGTTAAAGCTCTCCGCCATGGCCATGGCGTCATTGTCAGTGTCACTGGTTGCTCAGCCTGTGAATCTGACAATTTGACAATCCGCCTAGCCTCCTCCCAAACCGGCTGACATGGCGTCACCAGACCATACCATAGCAGGCTCAAGCCTATTTCAGACCGAGAGGCTGTTCAAGAATAAGCGGGACTCGCGGTTGAGATTTCTAAATCGTTTCAAAAGCGCACTTCTTCCTCACCGATTTTGGTTTTGGGCTCTGGAATTGTCACTTCAATTGTGAGTCTGGACCACGAAACTCGAAATTTTGTGGCTGGTATCAGCAACTCACTACTGATTGCTGTTGGGGAAATGAGATTTGAAATCCATTATTGTAAATTTCGCTGTGGTGTGTGGTTCGTGGCTGGTCGTGACCTCGGCCGAACCTAGTCTGAGGTGCTGACCCAAACGCATTTTCCACGGCGGCTCAGTACGTTCCTTTGCGATCCAAAAGGGTGAAACTCTGAGCATGGAAGATATTTTCGCGAGCTGAAAGCTCCCGCCTGGCGTTGCCCAATGAGAGCACTTCGCCGAGCGAAGTTGGATATCCGTAATTGCTCTGCAGGTTGATCTCATTACAAGCAGGGAGGAACATGAAACCAAACGAATTTATAGAGGACGTGAAAGCCTCTCAAACCTCAAATGGGTTGTGGAAGTCATGCAAACCTCTAAATTCTGAAATTCCAATGCACTCTAAGTTTCAATCTTGCAGGGATCCGCAAGACCCTTTTGCAAACAAATGAAGCAATCTGTTCTGTTTCACAAACCAGTGGTACTACTTCATGCTCCTCTATTATGCACACCATCAAATCAGTGTAATAAAATCCTCCCAATATGCCTAGAAACCACCCTCGAAATCCATATCTTCGTCATCATCACTATCACCATTCCCATCCTCATCCTCATCCCCACTCTCCAATCCCAAGGACGACAACGGCCCCATGCCATGCGGGCGGTGCTGATGCTCGTGCTGGTGCACGCTCCGAAGCTCCCGTAGTAGAGCCTTGGCATCCTCCTTCGCCTGCGATCAAGGCCCAAGAGAACCGTAAGCATGGTAAACCACATGGTAAACTGGCGTCGGGGCAGCAGTGTGTGGGGAGGAAGAGCCACCAACTCATCAAGCGGATGGAATGGCAAGTTATAAAGCGCTGCCCAATTCATCCCACCAAGCAAGCGGATGGAATATCGCTCCGCCTCCACCAAACTGCTCTTGGAGCGGTGGTGTGTGGCCAGGAAGAGCAGCGCTTCTACCAGCTCCAGCCCTTCCACTTGCTAAGTAGTGCAGCATGCTATCCACTCCATTCCAATCCGGTCAATATTCAACTCACGGGGCCACCGAAATTGAGCAGGCGAGTGGAATATCGCTCCGCCTCCACAACACTGCCCTTGGAATGATGGTGTGTGGCCAGGAAGAGCAGCGCCTCACCAGCCCTGACTGTATGCTATCTACTCGAAGCTTGCAAGAGTTTGACTCACCGGTCCACCGAAGTCAAGGAGACGCGTGGAGTATCGTTCCGCCTCCGCAAGACTTCCTTCAGAGCGGTGGTGTGTGGCCAGGAAGAGCAGCGCCTCAACTAGCTCCGGCCCCTCCACCTGCTCTGAGTCCATTCGGTCCAGATTGCGCCTGGGATGTGGGAGTGGAGAGTGGAGAACACACAAAGAGGAAACCAGCAGTGGACACACCAATAGGTGAAAGCTGATGTTGTGTGGCCAGGAAGAGCAGCGCCTCCACCTGCTCCGAGTCCATTCGGTCCAGATTGCGCCTGGAAAAGGGGAGCACACAGTTGGGGGTAAGAGATGGGGTAAGAGTCGATAATGTGTGGCCAGGAAGAGCAGTGCCTCCAGTAGCTCCGGCCCCTCCCCTTGCTAAGATCCATCCGGTCCAGATTGGGCCTGCAGGGAGGGGAGCACACAGATAGATTCAATAATGTGAAACTAAGTTCACTTTGTGTCTTTCCCCTCCTTTACACTCACTTGTGAAAATTAGCCGCCTGCCTCATCTGCCCCAGCCCCTCCTACGGGTTTGACAGCACCTGCAGCGCCGGGCCTTCCGACTCATTTACTTGTGCACCTGTCTGCCCTTTCATACTCACTTGTAGAAGTGTGCCGCCTGCTTCATATGCCGCAGCCCCTCATACAGCTTTGACAGCTTGTGCAGCGCTAGCCCCTCGCTCTCATTGCTGGCGACGGCACGGCGGTAGCAGCGGATGGCCGACAGCTTGTGCAGCGCCAGCCCCTCGCTTCCAAGTCCCGCTACCACACATGGTTCACACATCATTCTGAGCCCGATTCGCGCGTTCCCTCATGCTGAAAGACTCACTTGTAGAAGTGTGCCGCCTGTCTCATCTGCCCCAGCCCCTCATACAGCTTCGACAGCTTGTGCAGTGCCAGGCCCTCGCTCTCGTTGCTGGCGACGGCACGGCGGTAGCAGCGGATGGCGGCTTCCGGCTGCTGCAGCTGCTGTGCCTCGTAGCACTGCCCCATGGCACACCACATGCGGGAATCGTGGGGCCGCAGGGAGGCTGCTTTACTGTTGAGCACAGACAGGCACGAAGGGGAAGGGAGAGTGTGGGTTAGCAGTGGATGCTGCAGCTGCTGTGCCTCGTAGCACTGCCCCATGGCACACCACATGCGCGAGTCGTGGGGTCGTAGAGATGCCGTCTTCCTGTTAGGCATGCAAGGACAGGAAGGAAGGAGAGAGTTAGAGTGGGCGGTAGCAGTGGATGACGGCTGCTGGCTGCTGCAGCTGCTGGGCCTCGTAGCACTGCCCCATGGCACACCACATGCGCGAGTCATGCTGGCGCAAAGAATCGCATACGTCTGCCCGAGCATACACGAAAACCCCAAACCCTAAATCAGAGACTCACCGGTAGTAGTAGAGGGCGTAGTAGGGCATCGCAAGAATCTCATACGTCTGCCCGAGCCCGTACCACGTGCGATAATCCCTCGGATTAAAATCGACCGCCCTCCTATACGCCTGGATCGCCCCGGCACTGTTCTTCATCTCCACATACTCGTGCCCCATCAGCGTCCACGCTGACAGGTAGCAGCATTTGAACCTTCCCCTGATGCCAAAACCCGAAACCTTAACCCCTAAACCTTCAACTTAAGCCCCGAATAGAGGGCACTCACCGGTAGTAATAGAGGGCGTAGTAGTACGGCATGGCGAAACCCTCAACCTCACACCTGAAACCCCAAACCCCAAAGCAAACACTGTCACTCACCGGTAGTAGTAGAGGGCGTAGTAGGGCATGGCGAGAATCTCATACGTCTGCCCGAGCCCGTACCACGCCCTATAATCCCTCGGGTTGATATCCACCGCCCGCCTGTACGCTTGAATCGCCCCGGCACTGTTCTTCATCTCCACATACTCGTGCCCCATCAGCGTCCATGCGGAGAGGTAGCAGCGGTCGAGGCGGAGGGCTCGGCGGAAGTAGGCCACGGCTCGCTCGTGGCGGCCCTTTAGGGAGAAATAGTTTCCGACGATGCAGCACGTCTCTGGCCGGTACTTGTCAATTTTTGTCACCTGACATGGGGGGAAAGAGGAGGGAGGGTGTGAAAGCCATGGGGAAGAGGGAAGGAAGGCACACCACGAAACCCATAAGGCAGAGGACCCATAGACCCATGCGGCAAGAGGCAGCGTCCATGCGGAGAGGTAGCAGCGGTCGAGGCGGAGGGCCCGGCGGAAGTAGGCTACGGCCCGCTCGTGGCGGCCCTTTAGGGAGAAATAGTTTCCGACGATGCAGCACGTCTCCGGGCGGTATTTATCGATTTTAGTGACCTGAGGGAAGGTGGAGGCAGTGCGCGAAAGCCATGGGGAAGGAATAAGGTACACATGTAAAAAAACCCTGATGGCAAGAGGCAGCGTCCACGCGGAGAGGTAGCAGCGGTCGAGGCGGAGGGCTCGGTGGAATGGAAGTAGGCCACTGCACGCTCGTGGCGGCCCTTGAGGGAGAAGTAGTTTCCAACGATGCAACACGTCTCTGGCCGGTACTTGTCGATTTTAGCGATCTGGAGTGGCAAAAACAACGGAGACGTGGAGAGGAAACGACCACAGCAATGCTTTTAGGGAGAGTTGAGGCGCCTCAAAAGGATCTATGCTCATAATGGAAGAGCAGCAATTCTAAGAGTTGCAAAAGACGTGGAGAGGAAAAGACCACAGCAATGCTTTTAGGGAGAGTTGGTTTCCTTCCCACTATGCAGCCTGTTTTAGGGCGGTACTTGTCGACCCTTAATGGGGTTGACCAGTCAACACCGGTCAACTCTGGACAACTCACATGTGCTGTGAGGAACCCCCCCCCTTCACCCATGTGCAGGTCAACTCAAGTCAACGCCAGTCAACTTACCCGGTGCGCCAGGTGGGAGAGCCCAGCAAAGTCCTCCTTCACGTAGAGAATATTTGAAAACGTGTCCATGGCTTCTAGTCTATATGGGTCAACGCTGGTCAACTCAAGTCAACGGCAGTCAATGCTTCACTCACCCTGTGAGCCAGGTGACTAAGCCCAGCAAAGTCCTCCTTCACGTAGAGAATATTGGAAAACGTGTCCATGGCCTCTAGTCTGTACGGGTCAACGCCAGTCAACTCTGTGAACACAGCCTCTGCCGAGTCAAAGTCCCTCAGGTTGTAGTGCGCCGTTGCTGTTGCTGCCGCCACCCACGTGCTGTGTGGAAAGCCCCCTCCTTTCCCCGCCGCTTCGCCAGTTCCTCCTGTTGTTGTCTCTCCTGCTCCCCCTGGTGCTGCTGCTGCTGCTGCAGTTCCCCCTCCTTCCCCATCCGCCATTCGCCTCCTTTCCCCCTGCTCCCCCTCTGCTTGCTGCGATGAGTGAGAGAGGGAGTGAGAGAAGGAGGAGGAGGAGGCGGAGGAGGAGGAGGAAGGGGGGGAGGCGAGGTGCAGGCAGAGGGAGAGCGCTTCGGAGTTGCGGTGGAGGGAGAGGAGGAGGGAGGAGAGGGCGAATAGAGTCATCCAGTGGGCAGGGAGGGAGGGGAGGAGCGAGAGGTAGGTGTCGTGGTCGAGACAGAGGGCCTGGAGGGGAGGGGAGAGTGGGTGAGAAGGGGAAGAGAGGGAAGGGGTTGGGGGGAGAATAGTGGAGGAGGGAGGAGAGGGCGAAAAGAGTCATCCAGTGAAGGGAAGGGAGGGGAGGAGCGAGAGGTAGGTGTCATTGTCGAGACAGAGGCCGCAGCCTACAGAAGCCGCAGCCTACAGAAGGCGCAGCCTCGTAATGTCTCCCACCACTAAGTGGTAAGTCGATTTTTGAGTCGACTCAAAAACCACTAAGTGGTGTTCCTTGAGTGAGAGGTAGGTGTCATGGTCGAGACAGAGAGCCTGAAAGGGAGACATGTAGGGGGGACGAGAGGGGAGGAACACAGGAGGGAGGAGAGGGCGAATAGAGTCATCCAGTGGGCAGGGAGGGAGGGGAGGAGCGAGAGGTAGGTGTGGTGGTCGAGACAGAGGGCCTGGAAATGGGTGTGTGGGTGGGAAGGGGAGGGGAGGGAAGGAGTTGGGGGGGAGAATATTGGAGGCCTCAAAAGATTGTGTGCGTTTGTCAGCGTGCCTGCCATCCTCTCTCACCTCATCTGCTGCCATGCAGCCCAGTTCCATTCCAAGGGCACTCCCGCACACTTTCACACAGCAACCCCCGTGCCTCCCCCTCTCTCCCCCTCTGCGCCAACACTACCCCCACCAGATAGATACCTCCCCCACGCATCCAGCCTGCCTTGTGGGGGGCCTCAAAGTCCCTCCCAGGGATACTACTCGCTCACCTCTATCTGCTGCCATGCAGCCCAATCCCAAGGAAACTCCCACGCACTCTCCCACGCACCCTCCCTCACACTCACGTCAAGGGTACACCCTCACCTCTATTTGCTGCCACGCAGCCCAGTTCCAAGGGTATTCCCGCACACTCTCACACAGAACCACCCGCGCCTCCCCCTCCCTCCCCCTCTGCGCCAGCACCACTCCCAGCAGATACTTCCCCCATGCATCTAACCTCCCTGCCGCCCGCTCCCGCTCCAGCTCAGCCTGGACACGTGGCAGCTCAGGATTGGCCACAGGAGACGCGGGGTTGTCCGGGGAGGAGGAGGTGGGGTGGGCAGGGAAGGGTATGGGCTGCTGCTGCTGGTTGGTTCCCGGGAGGGTCTGCTGCTGGGAGGAGGTTTCTAGAATGATCTCTTCCTTGCGCTTCTCCCCTGCCTGCAGGGGTGGGTTTGATAGGGGAGGGAGGGGAGTGATGGGTGGGCAGGGAAGGGTATGGGCTGTTGCTGCTGGTTGGTTCCCGGAAGGGTCTGCTGCTGGGAGGAGGTCTCTAGAATGATCTCTTCCTTGCGCTTCTCGCCTGCCTGCAGGGGCAAAGGGGGAGACATCAAGAAGGGAGGAAAGGGACGGGTGGGTGCTGCTGGTGTGGGTGGCACCATGGCAGTGGTTGCTGGTTGGTTCCCGGGAGGGTTTGCTGCTGGGAGGACGTCTCTAAAATGATATCGTCCTTGCGCTTCTTCCCTGCCTGCAGGGGTGGGGAGGGCACATTGAGAACGAAGGGGAGTGATGGGTGGGTGGGTGCTGCTGTGCGTCAAGTGGGTGTTGCTTGGGAGGGTCTGCTGCTGGGAGGACGTCTCTAGAACGATCTCGTCCTTGCGCTTCTCGCCTGCCTGCAGGGGTGGGGAGGGGTGAATGGATGGGACGGATGGGTGAGTGGGTGCTGCTGGTGGTTACCGAGAAGAATTCGCATGTATCTTCACCAAGTACTGTCCTTCACCAAGTACTGTCCTTCACCAAGTACTGTCCTTCACCAAGTACTGTCCTTCACCATGTACTGTCCTTCACCAAGTACTGTCCTTCACCAAGTACTGTCCTTCACCAAGTACTGTCCTTCACCAAGTACTGTCCTTCACCAAGTACTGTCCTTCACCAAGTACTGTCCTTCACCAAGTACTGTCCTTCACCAAGTACTGTCCTTCACCAAGTACTGTCCTTCACCAAGTACTGTCCTTCACCAAGTACTGTCCTTCACCAAGTACTGTCCTTCACCAAGTACTGTCCTTCACCAAGTACTGTCCTTCACCAAGTACTGTCCTTCACCAAGTACTGTCCTTCACCAAGTACTGTCCTTCACCATGTACTGTCCTTCACCAAGTACTGTCCTTACCAAGTACAGTCCTTCAATTCACCTAACGAAAACAGCCCCACGAATGTAAGACGTAAGGAATGCTTATAAGACTCTCCACGGTCTTCTTCTCACCATGTAGAGCGATTCTTATAAAGTGCATAGCAGAACAAGAAACAGCCTCAATCACTGTCTCACTCACCAGGTAGAGCGCATAGCAGCGCAGGAACAGCGCCCTCCTCCCTTGAACCCCTTCCAGCACATGCGCTGCCCTCCTGAACTCCCTCACATCAAACAGCGCCCGCGCAAACAGCACCTCGTCCGAATCCTCCTCCTCCCCCTCCACAGCCTCTCTCCCTTTCACTTCACCTATCGCCGCCGCTCCTCCTTCGGCCCCGTGCGCCGTCCCTTTTGACCCTGCTGCCTCTCCTGTCGTTTGTGCCTCTGCCTTGGCAGCCCCTGCCTGCCCGTCCCTTGCTCCTCGCTCCTCTCTGCTGTCCCCTGCTGCAGATTCTGACTGGGAGGGCATGGCGGGTAGGCCGATTAGCTGCTCTGCAGCCCTGGAATGAGGAGGAGAGAGGGAGTGAGAGGAATGTTAAAGTCTCTGCCCTGCCGGTCCCTTGCTCCTCGCTCCTCTCTCCTGTCCCCTGCTGTAGCTTCTGACTGAGAGTTCATGGCAGGTAGGCCGATTAGCTGCTCTGCAGCCCTGTGGAATCAGGAGGGGGAGAGGAGAGGGAAGTGATCAATAGAATTGGTGGATAAACAATGAGAGAATGATCGGCATTAGGTCTCGCACAGTGGGGAGGCGGCATGACCGGCAGGCCGTTCAGCTGCTCTGCAGCCCTGTGGAACCAGGAGGGGGAGAGGAGAGGGACGGGACGTCTCAGATTTTCTGATTGAGAAGGCATGGCGTTGCTCTGCGGCCCTGGAATCAGGCGGAGAGACGATGGATAAACATTGGGCGGGAGATTGGCAATGGGTCCAGCGCACTGGGGAGACGGCATGCCGGGCAGGCTGGTCAGCTGCTCTGCGGCCCTGTGGAATCAGAAAAGTGGGGAAAGAGAGGATGGCGGACAACAGGAGAGGTGGAAGAACAATGAGAGAACAGTCGGCGTTGGGGGTGGTGTGGCATAAATGGAGACGGTAATAAACATTGGAAGCACTACTAGGAACCTTGGGTGAATGGAAGCAGTGGAGAAGCGACAGCTTTGAATGACTTACCACGCGGACGCCTGGAGCAGGCATCGGTCGTGCAGCTCCCGCACGGCGGCTCGCAGCTAGCCGCGCTTCAGCGGGCCCTTGACTTGACTTGACTCAACCTGACTCGACTTACCACGCGGACGCCTGGAACAGGCATCGGTCGCGCAGTTCCCGCACGGCAGCTCGCAGCTCGGCGCGCTTCGGCAAGCCCTTGACTTGATTTCAGACTTACCTTGACTTGACTTGATTGACTCACCATGAGGACGCCTGGAACAGGCATCGGTCGCGCAGTTCCCGCACGGCGGCTCGCAGCTCGGCGCGCTTCACGGCTGGGCTCGCCGCCGCTGCCGCTGCTAGCGCTGCTGCCACGGGATCGGCCGGAACGTGCCTGACGGCATCCGGAGTCGCTGGCACTGCCATGTCGGTCGAAATTCGTGAACGATCGTGTGATGGAACTAATGAAAACCCAATAAGACGAGATGCGAACTGTTGAGACGGCCCAGAATAGGAGATTTTCAAAGTGATAGTAAATCTAACCGAAGTAAAAATTCATGAGCAGAGCCGCAGACACGCCTGAGCGGACAGCACTCGCTTATTGTACGTTTGGCGTGGTCTCTAATACATTCTGTTACTTCCTACTATTCCCTAACAGCTGGCATTCCTTCAGGAATCTGACCTGGTTTCTGATCCCTGGTGTCCTACCCTATAGAACTTGGCTCTCACTCTCCGCGATTCGAGAGCTCTCGAGATTTAGCAGGACGGGATTCACAGATGATAGCGCGCACTTCTCAACAACAAACGAACCAATCTTGAGACGAAGTGACGGCCGGACGTGGAGCCGAACCTATTCAAATAGGCACCTCGTCAAATTCTGAACCTGAAGCTCATGTTACCATTACTATTCTCGCGTAATGGTTTCGCTGGAACTCTGTGCGATCTGGATCAGGCATTTTTGGGCAAACGAAGTTACACGAGATGCTTAAATAATGAAACGCAATCAGCAACGTAACTAGCTTCGTCAATCTCCGTGATGTATCGTGGAAACTGATGATTCTATGGTAACCTGTTAGCCCTTGGGAAGGTCGATCGCTACGCATTATTCAAACGATCAGGCCCTTGCTCCTGGAAAAAAATGCTCACATCGTAAGGCACCTAGCAGTCAACTCTGTTAGCTGTCCAGCAGGTGTGTTGTGTAGAACCCTCCTGCTGCTGCTGGTCCAGTTATAACATAATCCGTCACGTGCAATACCGGGAGTCTAAGCGATCATTTCGTTCTGTGAAGGATTTTGGATTTGAGGCTCCTGAGTTGCACGGTCATTTCTTTCGCCACCCTGATTTCGCCCTACGCATCCCGCGTTTCGCTTCGCGAAGAACTTGCTCGTTCGCCATTCGCTCAGCTTGACAAACTTAGCTTTCGCGCTTCTCGCTCCTTGCTTAACGTCGCCACTCCGTGCCTTTTGAGGTGACTCTTGAGTCCACCCAACGGTCACTTTCGGAGCTACCCATTCCGCGCGTTCCAATCCCTCCCACGAAATCAAAGTAGAAAATCCAGCCTCGTATTCGCTATATCGGGGATGGCGAAGCGCAAGGAGGATCCGTTACAAGCAGAGGACGCGCACGACAAGCTGGAGCTGATGCCGCTGGGCGCGGGCAACGAAGTGGGGCGGTCGTGCGTGTTCATGTCGTACAAGGGCAAGAACGTGCTGGTAATCACTCCCTAGGCGCCTCATTTTTGTCGTATATGGGCAAGAACGTGCTGGTAATGGCCCTTAGGTGCAGCTGATGCCTGTAGGGGCAACCAACTGGGGCGGTCGTGCGTGTTCATGTCGTACAAGGGCTAGAACGTGCTGGTGAGGGGATGAACGTGCTGGTGAGGGCAAGCACGTGCTGGTGAGGGCAAGCACGTGCTGGTGAGGGCTAGCACGTGCTGGTGAGGGCTAGCACGTGCTGGTGAGGGCTAGCACGTGCTGGTGAGGGCTAGCACGTGCTGGTGAGGGCTAGCACGTGCTGGTGAGGGCTAGCACGTGCTGGTTATGGCTCTTCAGTTCGACTGTGGCATTCACCCTGCATACTCTACTCAGGCATCGCTGGGCTGCCCGTCTTTGGTCACCTGCCTAGTTTCCATCCCCTTTCACCCCACTCAATCCCCCCACTCAATCCCCTTCCACCGCACCCAACCCTTTCCCCACTGCCAGTTCGACTGTGGCATTCATCCCGCGTACTCTGGCATTGCCGGGCTGCCCTTCTTTGGTCACCTGCCTTCTTTCCATCCCCTTCCCCCCCACTCAATCCCCTTCCACCGCATCCAATCCCCTTCCACCGCACCCAACCCTCTTCGCACTGCCAGTTCGACTGTGGCATTCACCCCGCCTACTCGGGCATCGCCGGGCTGCCCTTCTTTGACGAGATCGACCCCTCCTGTATCGACGTGCTGCTGGTGACGCAGTGAGTGCTGTTGACTGCCGTTGACTTGAGTTGACTCGAGTTGACTTGTTGACCTTGGTAGTGCTTCTGGGCTGCCCTTCTTTGATGAGATCGACCCCTCCTGTATCGACGTGCTGCTGGTGACGCAGTGAGTGCTGTTGACTGCCGTTGACTTGAGTTGACTCGAGTTGACTTGTTGACCTTGGTAGTGCTTCTGGGCTGCCCTTCTTTGATGAGATCGACCCCTCCTGTATCGACGTGCTGCTGGTGACGCAGTGAGTGCTGTTGACTGCCGTTGACTTGAGTTGACTCATGTTGACTCACTGAGTGCTGCTGCCCTTCTTTGATGAGATCGACCCCTCCTGTGTGGACGTGCTGCTGGTGACTCAGTGAGTGTTGAATCCTTTCTGCTGCGTTGACATGAGTTGACTCGTGTTGACTCACTGAGTGCTGCTGGGCTGCCCTTCTTTGACGAGACCAACCCCTCCTGTGTTGACGTGCTGCTGGTTACGCGGTGAGTGCGGTCTTCTTGCTGTGTTTACCCTCGTTGAGTTAACTTGCAGTGAGTGCTGCTTCCTTTCTGCTGCGTTTACTTGAGTTTGCCTAACTTCGTTATGGGCGCCTCATAACGTCTTCTCCCGATCTCTCCCCTCCCCTCCCCTCCCCTCCCCTCCCCTCCCCTCCCCTCCCCTCCCCTCCCCTCCCCTCCCCCCCTCCCCTCCCCTCCCCTCCCCTCCCCTCCCCTCCCCTCCCCTCCCCTCCCCTCCCCTCCCCTCCCCTCCCCTCCCCTCCCCTCCCCTCCCCTCCCCTCCCCTCCTCTCCCCTCCCCTCCCCTCCCCCCCCCCCCCTCCCCTCCCCTCCCCTCCCCTCCCCTCCCCTCCCCTCCCTCCCCTCCCCCCCCCCTCCCCTCCCCTCCCCTCCCCTCCCCTCCCCTCCCCTCCCCTCCGCCATCAGCTTTCATCTCGACCATGCCGCGTCACTGCCTTACTTTCTCTCTAAGGTACAACCCGCTATCTGCTTCCGAAGTGTGCTGTGGGTGTGAGATGTCTCCATTTATGGATGGTCACTGCAACCTATATTTGAGGCGCCTAAAAAATAACCTGCTTGCACGGTGTGCTATGCTTGTGGGGGGGGTGGTGTAATGGGCATGTGAGATGTCTATGGATGGTTACTGCAAGCGTGTGGAAGTCTTTTGAGGCGCCTCAAAAGGTGTACTGGGCATGTGAGATGTCTATGGATGGTTACTGCAAGCGTGTGGAAGTCTTTTGAGGCGCCTCAAAAGGTGTACTGGGCATGTGAGATGTCTATGGATGGTTACTGCAAGCGTGTGGAAGTCTTGGAAGGAGATGAATGCTGATTCATCAGAGCTTCTGTTGGTGATGCTTGCTTTTTTCCCTTGTTCTGATGTTGCTTCTTCCGCAGCGGCCGGGCCCCTTCCGCTCCTACTCCCTGCAGACCAATGTCGTACCAGTGGCTTCATGCCAGGACGAGTCTTAATGATTCATGCCAGGACGAGTCTTAATGATTCATGCCAGGACGAGTCTTAATGATTCATGCCAGGACGAGTCTTAATGATTCATGCCAGGACGAGTCTTAATGATTCATGCCAGGACGAGTCTTAATGATTCATGCCAGGACGAGTCTTAATGATTCATGCCAGGACGAGTCTTAATGATTCATGCCAGGACGAGTCTTAATGATTCATGCCAGGACGAGTCTTAATGATTCATGCCAGGACGAGTCTTAATGATTCATGCCAGGACGAGTCTTAATGATTCATGCATGCAACAGAAGTCGTGTACTGGCGGGCTGCTGCTGCTGCTGCTGTGCGAGTCGGCACAGCAGCAGTCTAATTTTGAGGCGCCTCAATATTAGAATTCGTGTACTGGCTGCTGTGCGAGTCAACACAGCAAGGTGGCTGCTGTGCGAGTCAACACAGCAAGGTGGCTGCTGTGCGAGTCAACACAGCAAGGTGGCTGCTGTGCGAGTCAACACAGCAAGGTGGCTGCTGTGCGAGTCAACACAGCTAGGTGGCTGTGGATGATGCTCCCTTGTCTGCCTCCCTTCCCCTACCCTCCCACTGCCCTCCCACCCCCACCTCACTCCACCGCACCCCACCTCCTCCCTCTTCAGACTAACTTCCAAGGGCGTGTAATCATGACCCATGCCACGAAAGCCGTCTATCGCCTGCTGCTGTCTGATTTCGTGCGAGTCAGCAAGGTGGCTGTGGATGATGCTTGCTTTCTTTCCTCTGTTCTGTTGTCTCTTTTTCCCTGGCCCCTTTCCCTCCAACCCTCACAGACCAACTTCCAGGGGCGGGTGTTCAAGACCCATGCCACGAAAGCCGTCTATCGCCTGCTGCTCTCTGATTTCGTGCGAGTCAGCAAGGTGGCTGTTGAAGATGCTCCCTTGTCTGCCTCCCTTCCCCTACCCTCCCACTGCCCCTCCACCCCTACCTCGCTCCACCGCACCCCACCTCCTCCCTCTTCAGACCAACTTCCAGGGACGCGTGTTCATGACCCATGCCACCAAGGCCGTCTATCGCCTGCTGCTCTCTGACTTCGTGCGAGTCAGCAAGGTGGCTGTGGATGATGCCCTGTTCACGGAGCAAGACATTCAACAGAGCATGGAGAAGATTGAGGTGAGTGCGAGCGGTTGAGGGAGTGAGTGAGTGGGTGAGTAAGGGAGAAAGTGAAAGGGGGGGAAAATCAGCAAGGTGGCTGTGGATGATGCCCTGTTCACGGAGCAAGATATCCAGCAGAGCATGGAGAAGATTGAGGTGAGTGCGAGCGGTTGAGGGAGTGAGTGAGTGGGTGAGTAAGGGAGAAAGTGAAAGGGGGGGAAGTCAGCAAGGTGGCTGTGGATGATGCCCTGTTCACGGAGCAAGATATCCAGCAGAGCATGGAGAAGATTGAGGTGAGTGCGAGTGAGGGAGTGAGTGAGGGAGTGAGTGAGTGAGGGAGTGAGTGGGTGAGTGAGGGAGTGAGTGGGTGAGTGAGTCAACAAATGAGTGAACGAGTGAGTGAAGTAGGGAGTCAGCAAGGCGGCTGTGGGTGATGCGCTGTTCACGGAGGAAGATGTCTAGCAGAGCATGGAGACGACTTTTGAGGCGCCTCAAAAGGCTTCTGAGAATTCTAAAAAAACTGAGGCGCCTCAAAAGGCTTTTGAGAATTCTAAAAAAACTGAGGCGCCTCAAAAGGCTTTTGAGAATTCTAAAAAAACTGAGGCGCCTCAAAAGGCGGCTGTGGGTGATGCACTGTTCACGGAGGAAGATGTCCAGCAGAGCATGGAGAAGATCGAGGCGAGGGGGAGTGAGGGAGAGTGAGTGAGGGAGTGAATGAGGGAGTGAGTGAGGGAGCGTACGAGGTGAGAAAGGTGGCTGTGGATGATGCGCTGTTTACGCAAGAAGATGTCCAGGAGCATGGAGAAGATCGAGGTGAGGGGGAGTGAGGGAGAGTGAGTGAGGGAGTGAGTGAGGGAGTGAGTGAAGGGGGAGTCAGCAAGGTGGCTGTGGAAGATGCTCTGGCATGCTGAATGGCATCAAGTTCTGGTGCTACACAGCGGCAGCTATGTTAAAGAGGTGACTTTTGAGTCGACTGAAAAGTAACTTCTGGTGCTACACGGCAGCAGCTATGTTAAAGAGGTGACTTTTGAGTCGACTGAAAAGTAACTTCTGGTGCTACACGGCAGCAGCTATGTTAAAGAGGTGACTTTTGAGTCGACTGAAAAGTAACTTCTGGTGCTACACGGCAGCAGCTATGTGCCACATGCTTTCTCTCACTCCCCCCTTTGTCGCGCCCAAAAATCGACTTATCACCGGCAGCTATACAGCGGCACAGCGGCAGCTATGTGCGGCAGCTATGTGCGGCAGCTTTGTGCCACATGCTTTCTCTCACTCCCCCATTCATACCCCACCCCACCAGGTGATCGATTTCCACCAGATTCACGAGGTGAACGGCTTCAAGCTCTGGTGCTACACGGTGGGGCACGTGCTGGGAGCTCCTTTCATTGGTCTTCCATTCAGTGCTAACCCCTCCGTCCTTGGCCTTTCCTTACCCTCATGTCAGGTGATAGATTTCCACCAGATTCACGAGGTGAATGGTATCAAGTTCTGGTGCTACACGACAGGCAGGGCACGTGCTGGGATCGGCCATGCTGCTCCTTTTTCCATTCCACATGCTTTGTCTTTTTTCCCTCCCTTGCTGCTCCTTTATTCCTCCCAGGTCATCGACTTTCACCAGATTCACGAGGTGAATGGTATCAAGTTCTGATGCTACACGGCGGGGCACGTGATGGGAGCAACGTGGCTTGAGTGCTAACCCCCGTCTTCCTCCGTCTTTATGTTCCTCGCTCCCAGGTCATTGATTTCCACCAGATTCACGAGGTGAACGGTATCAAGTTCTGGTGCTACACGGCGGGGCACGTGCTGGGAGCAGCCATGTTCGCGGTGGATATAGCGGGAATCAGGGTGCTCTATACGGGGGATTACTCGCGCGAGGAGGACCGCCACTTGAGAGCAGCCGAAGTGCCGCCCTTCTCTCCGGACCTCTGCGTCATTGAGTCAACGTTTGGTGTACAGGTGCGTCTTGGTGGGTTTTGACTTCCTATACTGCTACTTGAGACAGCTAGGGTCAGCAGGGGAAGGAGGAGGACCGCCACTTGAGAGCAGCCGAAGTGCCGCCCTTCTCTCCTGACCTCTGCGTGATCGAGTCAACGTTCGGCGTGCAGGTAAGATTTGGTGATGGTTCCTTCTCAGAGGGTGCTCTATACGGGGGATTACTCGCGCGAGGAGGACCGCCACTTGCGGGCAGCCGAAGTGCCGCCCTTCTCGCCGGACCTCTGCGTCATCGAGTCAACCTTCGGCGTGCAGGTGAGATCAGGCTGTTCTTACACGGCTCATGCAGAAAGGCGGAGGACCGGCACTTGCGGGCAACCGAGCCGAAGTGCCGCCGTTCGGTGATCTCCCAACTTCTTCATCATTGAGTCCACCTTCGGCATGCAGGTGAGATCAGGTTCTCAAGGCACGTTGGTCATACGTCCAGTGTTGATACGAAGAGGAGGACGAGGAGGACCGCCACTTGCGGGCGGCAGAAGTGCCGCCCTTCTCTCTGGACCTCTGCATCATTGAGTCCACCTTTAGCGTGCAGGTGAGATCAGGATGCTCTTACGTGGCTCGTGCAGAAAGGAGGAGGACCGGCACTTGAGAGCAGTGGAAGTGCCGCCCTTCTCTCTGGACCTCTGCATCATTGAGTCCACCTTTAGCGTGCAGGTGAGATCAGGATGCTCTTACGTGGCTCGTGCAGAAAGGAGGAGGACCGGCACTTGAGAGCAGTGGAAGTGCCGCCCTTCTCTCTGGACCTCTGCATCATTGAGTCCACCTTTAGCGTGCAGGTGAGATCAGGATGCTCTTACGTGGCTCGTGCAGAAAGGAGGAGGACCGGCACTTGAGAGCAGCGGAAGTGCCGCCCTTCTCTCTGGACCTCTGCATCATTGAGTCCACCTTTGGTGTGCAGATGAGTCTTGGTGGCTCTTTCTTTGTATGCAGGTGAGATCGGGGAAGTGAGAGAGCACCGTTTTCTCGATTGTGTCGTCGGCACGGTGCTGAACGGAAGGAGGGTGCTCATCATCCCAGCGTTCGTCCTGGGCTGGGCAGTGAATCTCCCTAGCTCGCCCCTGGCTGGGCTGGGCCGAGCATAGAAGCTACTGCTCCTGTGCACTGGGCACTGAATCTCCCGAGCACAGGAGCTGCTGCTCTTTCTGAACGACCACTCCCCTCCTTGTTTCACTACCACCGTCCCTCCCACCCACCCACCTCCTCTCCCTCCACCTCACTTCACTCAACCACAGAATCACGAGCCACGGGAGGTGAGAGAACGCCGCTTTCTAGACTTTGTCGTGGGAACGGTGCTGAACGGAGGGAGGGTGCTCATCCCAGCATTCGCCCTGGGCCGGGCGCACAGAAGCTGCTGCTGATTCTCTACCCCTCGCCCGCTCTTCTCTCTCCCGGTCGCAGATCCACGAGCCACGGGAAGTGAGAGAACGCCGCTTCCTCGACTTTGAGTTGACTTTCGAGTTGAATTTTGAGTCGACTCAAAAGTGAGAGAACGTCGCTTCCTCACCTTCGTTGTCAGAACAGTGCTGAACGGAGGGAGGGTGCTCATTCCCGCGTTCGCCCTCGGCCGGGCCCAGGAGCTGCTGCTGATTCTGGACGAGCCGAGCACTCACCTCCTTGTTTCACCGGCTCTCTTCCCCTCTTTCTCTCCTTCTCTCTTTCTCCTCACCCAACCACAGATTCACGAGCCACGGGAAGTGAGGGAGCGCCGGTTTCTCGACTTTGTGGTGGGAACGGTGCTGAACGGAGGGAGGGTGCTGATTCCGGCGTTCGCTTTGGGGCGAGCACAGGAGCTGCTGCTGATTCTCTACTCTTAACCTGCTTTTTCTCTCCCTCTCTCCTCCTCCATCCTCACAGATTCACGAGCCACGGGAAGTGAGGGAGCGTCGATTTCTCGACTTTGTGGTGGGAACGGTGTTGAACGGAGGGAGGGTGCTCATCCCGGCGTTCGCCCTGGGGCGAGCGCAGGAGCTGCTGCTCATTCTGGACGAGCACTGGAGGGGCCATCCGGAGGTGCAGCACGTGCCGCTGCTCTATGCGTCGCCCCTCGCAAGGAAAACTATGGTCGTGTATCGGTGAGTGGGAGTGGTTCACAGGGGTTAGAGCGGTGGTGAGCGGTGCAGTGCGGTGCTGTGCTGTAGTGGTGGCTGGAGCTGCTGCTGATTCTGGACGAGCACTGGAGGGGCCACCCCGAGGTGCAGCACGTGCCGTTGCTCTATGCCTGTCCGCTTGCAAGGAAAACCATGGTGGTGTATCGGTGAGTGACACACATCGTGGTGGTGAGGGGTGCAGAGCGGTCTTGTGCTGCGTCCCAAGGTGCAGCACGTGCCACTGCTCTATGCCTCCCCTCTCGCCCGCAAGACTATGGTGGTGTACCGGTGAGTGAGGGAGAAAGTGATAGGAGTGAGTGAGTGAGGGAGAAAGTGATCGGAGTGAGTGAGTGAGGGAGAAAGTGATCGGAGTGAGTGAGTGAGGGAGAAAGTGATAGGAGTGAGTGAGTGAGGGAGAAAGTGATAGGAGTGAGTGAGTGAGGGAGAAAGTGATAGGAGTGAGTGAGTGAGGGAGAAAGTGATAGGAGTGAGTGAGTGAGGGAGAAAGTGATAGGAGTGAGTGAGTGAGGGAGAAAGTGATAGGAGTGAGCGAGTGAGGGAGAAAGTGATAGGAGTGAGTGAGTGAGGGAGAAAGTGATAGGAGTGAGTGAGTGAGGGAGAAAGTGATAGGAGTGAGTGAGTGAGGGAGAAAGTGATAGGAGTGATCGCATTCAACAACCGCTTTTGAATGCTCTGCAATGCTGAAGTGTGATAAGCAACCGCATCTGCATACCCAATTGCCAAATGAAAATTCCTATTGTTCCTCCAGAAAACACTTCTGCGTGCCTCCTCTTTTTTCCAGTTTATCGAGCCTCAGAGTCTCGATTAACTCTGAATTTTCAACTCTGAGTTGCATCCAACTCAGATGGTCCCCGTTTTCCCACTCTCTTTCCCTTTGTTCTCTCGTCCCAGCACTTACCTAAGCGCCATGAACGACCGCATTCGCGAGCAAGCGGAAGTCTCCAACCCGTTTGACTTCCGGTTCATCAAGTCGCTGAGGAGCATTGCTGAATTCGAGGACACGGGGCCGGCTGTGGTGATGGCTAGCCCGGGTGGGCTGCAGAGCGGTCTATCCCGTCAGCTATTCGACATGTGGTGCCAGGATGCCAGGTGATAGATTGCAGGGTAAGGGGAAGAAGGGAAATTGTGTTGAAGGTGCTGTGGAGCATTGCTGAATTCGAGGACACGGGCCCGGCTGTGGTCATGGCTAGTCCGGGCGGGCTGCAGAGCGGGCTGTCACGCCAGCTGTTTGACATGTGGTGCCAGGATGCGAGGTGAGGCGAGGAAAGGCAGGTGAGCAGACGTGGTGAAAATGCCTGTGTGAAACAGCCTCCTCAACCCGTCTGACCCCTGGTTCCACAACACCCACTTGACTTCTTTCCGCTTCATCGAGTCTCCTTGCAGCATTGCTGTGTCTGATTGAGTACTCTTGGCAAACCCAACGAGATGATCCAGCTGTGCCCACCCCACATCGTGCTAAAGGAGATGGGGATGAGCACGAGATGGCTTTTGAGGCGCCTAAAAAGGGAGGCGCACGAGATGGCACGCCTTTTAGCCCATCCCTTCCTTTACCCTGCCTCTTTTCCCCCCTTCATATCCCCTGAAACCTCCCAGCTTGATCCCAGGGTATGTGGTGGAGGGCACGCTAGCCAAGACCATTCTGAGTGAGCCCAACGAGGTGACCCTCCAATCCGGCGCCACCGTGCCTCATCTCCCTTCTCACTCTGTCGCGTCCCTCTCCCACCTTCTCCTCGCTCTTCCCCCCAGGAACACGTGTTTGATCCCAGGGTACGTGGTGGAGGGCACGCTAGCCAAGACCATTCTGAGCGAGCCCAACGAGGTGACCCTCCAGTCCGGTGCCACAGTCCCGCTCCGCATGAAGGTCCACTACGTGTCCTTCGCAGCCCACGCCGACTACCCGCAGACCTCCCACTTTCTGGAGCAGATCCGTCCCCCCCACATCGTGCTGGTTCACGGGGAGGCGCACGAGATGGCACGGCTTAAAGCCAAGCTTGCGCTGCATTTCAAGGACTCGTTGGCCCCGCCGAGTATTCACACCCCGAAGAATTGCCAGGGCGTGGAGTTTTTTTTCAAGGGGGAGAAGATTGCGAAGGTGGTGGGGAGGATTGCGGAGAAGGGGGGGGTTATGGCTCCTGATGGGGAGGAGGATGGGGAGGGGGAGGGTGGTGATGCTGCTGCTGCCGGTACTGGTGCTGGTGATAGTGGTGGTGCTGCTGCTGCTCCGGCAATCAAAGCAGCAGAGGTTACGGGAGGGCTGGTAGCATCAAGCAACCCATCGAGCAAAGCAGGTGCCACCCAAGCAACTACGGGAGCAGGAGCAGCAGGGGGAGGAGCAACAGGGGGAGGTGCAATGGCGGGATGTGCAACAGAGGCAGCTGAACCAACAGGGGGAGCAGCAGCAGGGCGCACTATAAGTGGGCTGCTAGTGCGCAAGGGCTTTAACTACCAGCTACTAGACCCTCAGGACCTCCCCTCCTACACCTCCCTTGGACTCGGCACCGTGGTTCAGAGGCAGTCCGTACCCTTTATAGGCCCGTTCGAACCCATTATAAGGCGCCTGGAGATGCTGTTTGACTCGGTCGTGCTTATAAAGGATGCGGGCGTGCCTGCAGTGCAGGTGCATGAGAAGGTGATTGTAGCGAGGGAGGGGGAAGACAGGGTGGTGCTGCAGTGGGCGTCCGAGCCTGTGGGAGATATGCTGGCAGATTCGATTGTGGCTCTGATGCTGCAGCTGGAATCCGGGCGGCAAACTGGCAAGGACCTGACGCTGCTGACGTCAGCAGGAGGAGGGAGAGGAGGAAGAGGAGTGAAAGTGGAAGGTGGGGGAAGGGAGGGAGGAGAGACTTTTGAGAATTCTCAAAAGTCACTCCCATATGGAAGGGAGGGAGGAGAGAAGGTGGTGAAGGGAGAGGAGCTGGATGAAAAGACAGGTGCTTTGGTTGTCGGAGAGAGCGATAAGAAGAGGAAAGAGAAGGGCGAGGAGGGCGGAGGAGGCAAGGAGGAAATTCAAGAGGAGGGGAAGGAGGAAGCTAAATCGAAGGCTATTGCGAAGGGAGAGGAGGGACAAGGAGATGGAGAGGGAGAGGGAGAGGGAGAGGGGGAGGAAGGAGGGAAGTGGAGGTGGCTTAGAGAGGACGAGATGAAGCACTTGGAGCGAGTGCTAGAGAGTATGTTTGGCGGAGTGAGGAGGGACGGCGAGGAGGGGTTGAGAGTGAGTGTGGATGGGGTGGAGGTGAGTGTGAGAGTGGGGGAGGAGGGAGGGGAGGTGGAGTGTGTGGAGGAGGGGCTGAAGAAGAGAGTGAGGGAGGCTGTGAACCGGTTTCTAGCAGCTGTTCGCCCTATCCCTCCGCCCGTTGGCTCTGCCGTAGGCTTGAAGAAAAGTTAGCCAGCCAGGAATGCTGTACCCCTGGTTTGAGGAAGAGGGAAAGTAAGGGAGGCTGTGAACCGGTTTCTAGCAGCTGTTCGCCTATCCCTCCGCCCGTGGCTCTGCCGTAGGCTTGAGAAACAGTTAGCCAGTCAGGAATGCTGTGCTCCTGGTTTGAGGAAGAGAGGAAGGGAGGTTGTGAACCGGTTTTGAGCAGCCGTCCGCCCTAGCCCTCCGCCTGTTGGCCCTGCCGTAGGGTTGAGGAAAGGTTAGGCTGGCCTGGCTGGCACTAATGTTTCCTTGGTTGGAGTAGTGGGATGAGGTGTGTGGAGGGGGAGAGGGAGAGACTCGGGGAAGTTGTTAACTCTGTACAATTTTATCAATGGTTTAAAAAAAAATGGAACGATGATCTCCAACAGTGCAGATGATTGCCTGCAATGCTAGCCTCGGTATTGGGTACTGAGCATGAGGCCATGAAACAGGAATAGTTGATGTTGTGTAAAAGACCATGTTTACTTCACCAGCACTACTCTGCATCTCAGAAAGCGTGGTCCCATGATCTAGCGGTTATGATGTCAGACTCTGAATCTGAATGCCCGAGTTCAATTCTCGGTGGGACCTTGTTGAAAATTTGTTATTCTGCCCCTTATTGCGGTGGGTGGGTGTGTGTTCACACTGCACTTTTGCATCCACCCTCTTCATAAACAAACTGCCCTTCACTAGCCCATATTCTGCTCACCAGTCTATGAATACGTGACTGGCAGATGGCACTCTTTTTTTGTGTGGGTCTAATGCTCCAACATGTTAACCGCAATCCACGAGGAGGAACCATCCTAAGTTGTCACAACCACAAAATTGTCACAGGTCACTGGTCTCCCAGCCCAGCACTGCCTGCTACGCTGCCTGCTACACTGCCTGCTACGCTGCCATCACAGCATCTACAGCCAGCAAGAAGTTTTCATCCACCTCCCCATGCCCGTGCATGCGCTAAATGATTAGACCTACTATTCCCCCAGCATTGCCTGCCAAGTAGCCATCACCCCATCTACAGCCAGCAGGAAGTTCTCATCCACCTCCCCATGCCAGCCCATACACCCATTATTCAAAGTGCCATGTCCAGCTACGGTTTGCGCCCAGTGACTTGCCTCACTCCTCTCCCAGGACCTCTTTCCATGCTGCGGCCACCGCATCTACAGCCTGCAGAAAAATCTCATCCACCTTCCCATGCGCATCCATGGCATGCGCATCCATGGCATGTGCAAAGTCTACCACGCTCAGAGAAGGGAGGCGGCTGTGCCCACCCATGCGCCCATCCATGCACCTAATGACTTGACCCGCTACTCTCCAAGCACTCCTTTCCACGCTGCCATCACCCCATCTATAGCTTGCAAAAAGTTCTCATCTACCTTGCCTTGCGCATCGATGGCATGTGCAAAGTCCACCAGCCTCAGAGAGGGAGGGTGGGCAGCACCCCTTCCCGCCTCCTTCCCTTCTTCCTTTGCCTCTGCCCCCTCGTGTTCAGCAGTATTGGCCTCGTAAATCAACAGGATAGAGGCTGAGAAGAAGTGGAAGGAGGTTTGCTGGGCGAACCTGTGAGGAAGCAATGGTGGGAATGAGTGGGAGGTGTGAGAGTGGGAGGGGGAGCATGGGTGCTGCTGTTGTTATCCTTGCAACTGAGGAGGATAGAAGAGGAGAACCCATAGAAGGAGGCAAAAAAGTTCGTCAAGCGGAGGTTGCTGGACAAAAAGGTCCAGTACAAAAAGGCTCACCAGTCCCTCAGTGTCTGCAGCTGCGCCAACAGCCCTCCCTCTCCACTCAAAACGCCTCTCATTCTCTCCTTCGCCTCCGCACTGAGAGAACCAGCAGCAGCAGCAAGAGCAGTAGTAGCATTGCCAGCACCAGCAGCAGCAGCGGCAATAGCATCGACGGCAGGGGCGTCAGCGGTGGGAGTCAGGGAGAAGAAGAGGCGGAAGACAGCTGGCATCTGCTGATTGGTCAGGTTCTGGCACCACTTGCGGTCAGCCCTCCACATGGCGCCAGTGCTGCTGTCTTGTACCTGCATGCCCGCCACCCTGTAGCCCAGCGTTCCACTCGTGGTGGTGGCGTCTTTGACCCTGTCAACGCACAGGCAGGGGGAGAGAGGAACTGGATTAAGAATGTGAGACTTTTTTCCAGCCCTAAGCACCCCTCCAGATGGCGCCAGTGCTGCTGTCGTGCACCTGCATGCCCGCTACTCTACAGCCCAGCGTGCCCGAGGTGGTGGTGGTTGCGTCTTTGGCCCTGTACGTGCATGCACACACACCGGGAGAAACAAAGGAAGGATAGATCGAAAAGAGCGCAAGACGGAAGAGGGGCGGGAGGACAGCTGGGTCAGATGACACAACCACATGGCGCCAGTGCTGCTGCCATGCCCCTGCATACCCGCTACTCTTGACTGGAACCTGGAGAACCTGAAGTGGCGGTGGCTTCTTTGACCCTGTCAACGCACGAGCCGGGAGGGTTTGAAAGGGCAGTGGGGTTGGTCTTAGACCGACAGCACCCTTCCACATGGCGCAAGTACTACTGTCGTGCGTGCATCTGCATGACCGCTACTCTTGACTGGAACCTGGAGAACCTGAAGTGGCGGTGGCTTCTTTGACCCTGTCAACGCACGAGCTGGGAGAAGCAAAGGAGGGGGGGACTGTAAAGGCAGGAGGGTTTCGCTTAGACTGAGAGCAGCAGCCCTCCATATGGCGTCAGTGCTGCTATCGTGCACCTGCATGCCCGCTAACCTCTAGCCCAGCGTTTCCCCACGCTTCTGTTACCCTGCTGCAATCATACACCTCTTTGTCCACACCCTGCTGCGGTGGTGACGTCTTTGCCTTTGCGCGTGTGTACTTTTGAGTCGACTCAATAGGCGACTTTTGAGTCGACTCAGAAGCGAGGGGGATTTGCCTTTGAGGGAGATTCACCAGCAGCTGCTATCATCCACCTCTTTGCCCACACCCTGCTGCGGTGGTGCCGTCTTTGCCTTTGTGTGTGTGTACATAGCTAGGGAATGGGGCAGGAAAAGGAAGGGAGAAAGCGGCTTTGAATAATGTGCTTGACTGGAATTCGGAAGAGGTTTGAAAGAGGCTCATGAGCATTGTGTAAAAAGAGTACTTTTGAGACGTCTCGAAAGTACCATTTTTACACGTGAATTTGGAAGAGGCTTGAAAGAGGCTCACAAGCATTTGTCGATGTATTTCTGCGGAGCCCCTTCATACCATGTCTTGCGCCCCATCTGCTTCCCAGAGTGTGGAGGGGGGAGTGGGGAGGGGAGGTAGGAGGTAAGAGGAGGGAGGGGGGAATTGGGGAGGGGACGCACAGATTAAGACAGGGTAAGCTAGCTGGCACATGCTGCGGGTTAGAAGGCAACTTCTAAGGCGGCTCAAAAGTAAACTGGTTGGCACATGCCGTGCATGTACTTTTCAAGAGCCCATGCACATGCACCCTTAATACCATGTCTCGCACCCTGTCTGCTTGCAGGAAAGGTGGAACAGAATCACCTTGATAATTTGCACAGTACTCATGCATGACTCATTATCATGTGTTCGCACATGCCCCTCTCACCTTGATATCCATGATGCATGGCTTGGTGTAATTCCTTGTAAGGTCCTCCATTACAAGAAACTGTGATATATGAATGAGCAAGTAATACACCATCATACAGCCATCGCATCGCAAATCCAGCACACACTATCATGCATGCACCCAGCCTTGAAAGCATGCACACACATATACCACACAGTTACACATTCACACATGCACACGCTTACACACATCCACACACGTGGGTGCATGCCAGCTCAACATATCCGAAAGCCCATGGTTGCACAAACAGTTGGTCACAATGTTGGGAGTTTTGAGGCACCACAATGAGATATTGACGTTCAAAATGGATTGCCGTCAACGATGACGTCAATGTTGACGTATTGGAGATCGAGGAATGCAGGGTGAGTAGGGCAAGTGGGAACGTGGAGGAGAGGTGAAGATGAAAGGAGGAGAGGCGAGGAGAGGAGGAGAGGGGGGGAGGGGGAGACGAGGAGAAAGGGAGAGGAGTGGAGGAAAGGAGGAGAGGAAGGGAGGAGGCGAGGAGGATAGAGAAGTGTAAAACGAATTGAGGAGGGAGGGAAGGGTGAGAGGAGTACAGAGGAGTTGAGAGGAGTCAAGGAAGAAACGTATCCAGAAAACGAATCAGGGATTGATGGATTGGAGAAAACTAAGAAATCAGACAACAAAGGTAGAACTTGACATGCTTGGTCCGTTGTGACAGTGTAAAGGTCTAATGGTACTGTTATCTCAAGAGTGTGTGCATGAGGACGGGTCGCTTGAGATATTAACATGGGTGCATGAGGTTATTTCTGACCCTAACATTGGTCCTTGGACCAAGGTCACAGGGAGCGGGTGAATGGGGGGAGGATCGTGGGAGGATATTGACTGGTGTAAGCTGTTGCTCTGTCCCTCCTTCCTCCCCGCTTGCATCCGCAGCACCACCAGCAGCAGCAACAGCAGCGGCAGCCGAAGCAGAGGCAGCGGCAACAGCGCCAGAAGCAAGAGCAGCAGACGGCGTGTGTGACGGCGGCAGCAGCACCTCCTTACTCCCGTGGCACGCGGGAAACGTGGCTTTAATCTCCGCAGGTATAGACGTGTCCGCAGCGATCCGCGTGTAGAATTTTAGCTCCTTTTCGCCACGTTCGCCTGCTTGCATGGGTTTATAAAAGCATCCCGAGTCGTCCACTAGCGAACCCTGTCGGCCCTCTGTTGGAATTGGAGACGGAAACGGAGAATTGTGGAAGTACTGCAGGAAAGTGTCAAGAACGGAAGTGAAACGCCACGACAAGCCTAGTCAACAATAAACCTCCAACACTAGCAAGAACTGATTTATCTACCCCGTAAAATTAAACGAATAATCCCTCTTTGCCCGCTCACCCTCGAAACGGTGACCAACCACCTGGAAGTCAATCTAGATATTTCTCTAAAGAAAACCTCCCACATCCCAGTTCCTCCCAGGTGATCCACCTTAGCACCCTCTCCCTGTCTCTTCCCCTTTTCCCCTCGATCTTCCGCCACTCCCTCTCCCTCTCCCCCTTTCCCAACGCACTCGCCGTCACCTATCCTCCCCGCACCCCCTTCGCCCTCCCCACGCTCCCCTTGCTCACCCTCGAAGCGGTAACCAGCCACCTGGTGATCCGCGGGTTGCGGCAAACCCCCTGCTCCCATTCCCCCTTCCCCCCCCCCACACACACCCCCTCCTCCGCCCTCCCTTCCCCTTCCCGCTTCCCTCTTCGCTCACCCTCGAAGCAATGACCAGCCACCTGGTGCTCCGCGGGTTAAGGCAGAACCCATTCTACCATTTTCCCCTTCCCCACTTTCCACCCAACTCCCCCTCCCTCCCTTCCCCTTCCCGCTTCCCCCGTCGCTCACCCTCAAAGCGGTGACCAGCCACCTGGTGCTCCGCGGGTTGCGGCAGATCCCCTTCTCCCTCACCTCCCTTCCCGCCATCCCCCCTTTCCCCCCACCCCCCTTCCCCCTTCCCCCAGGATCCGCTCACCCTCGAAGCGGTGACCAGCCACCTGGTGCTCCGCGGGTTTCAACATTCCGCCAGCCGATTATTAAGCGACGCGTTGACGTTATAGTGCGAGGATGCGAGGATGTTCTAGCGATAAAAGTGTGTCGCGACGCAAAGCGAACTACAATGATGAGAAGGCACCTCTCGCCTACTGCTACTCCCACACACACGATGTCAGAAAATAGCGAGCAGCTCGATGAGTTTCTCAGGTTCTATGCCGTGTTTATTGCTGGTAAAGCATCAGGCGAGATTCTTATCCTGGGTAATTGAATCTGGACGGATAGGCGGCTGGGATAGAGAAAACATTCGCCTGCAAAGCTACTTGTAAAACAGAGTAGCTGTGACTACTAGAGGGCTGGAAACTTGGCTGGAAAGTCTTAGCAGGGCTGCTGGAATTGACTGGATGAGGTAAAACTTCACTATGTTCAAGATTAACAAGCCCACTAAAGCACAACTCTATAGGCATCACAAAAAAGACAGATTGAGAGCTCAAACTAGGCTGATAGACAATGTAACTTCCCTGGTAACTTGGGCACAATCTAGATTGCATGGACCTTGAGTGACTTTGAGTGCCACATGAGGTGCATGAATAAGAAAACTCTGGATAATTCTGTTATAGCTGATTCTGATATGTAGAAACCTGTAGAAACTGCCAACACTTCGGTTTGAAGGCAGCTTTGAACTGTATCGAGTCTTCGGCTGAAATCTGATTGGTGGTGGAACTTTCGAAGTACTTCCCGAAGCCTCTGATTCATCGCCGACATTCCCCCTTGCTGCTGCTTGTGTGCAAAGGGCTGGGGCGGCAGAAACTCGATTCTCCAACACTCCCCCTCGCACCAGACCCGAAGCACACATACACCCATGCTGATGCTCCTTTCACATCTCCTTAGCATACACTTCATGCTGCTGCCCACGTCTCTTCCCCTCACACTCCTCATTCTCCTCAAACTGCTCCACTGCTTCATGAAGTGTCATGAGGCCTGCTCTTGCCTTGCACATGTTGAATGCATCATGTGGAAGAACCTTGGTCATGAAATCTGCTGCTTGATCGAATGAACGGAAAAAGTTGACGGCGAGAACTCCCTTCTCTAGTTGCTCACGAATGAAGTGGTACTGCACCTCGATGTGTTTTGTACGCCCATGATGAACCGGGTTCTTGGAAAGAGCTATGGCTGAAGTGTTGTCCACGTAGAGCGGAGTTGGTTGAGTTTGCGGCTGCCTCAAGTCCTCCAAGAGTCCACGTAACCAGATTGCCTCCCTTGCTCCTTCGGTCATCGCCATGTACTCAGCTTCGGTTGTTGAAAGTGCCACACAACTTTGCTTGCGCAATTGCCAAGAAACAGCGGCACCACACATGAGGAAGATGTAGCCGCCGGTAGACTTGCGTGTGCTCAATTCTCCCACCCAATCTGCATCGGTAAAGCCTTGGAGGGAGCTTGCATATGGGCTGGCTTGGAAGAGAAGACCATGATTAGAAGTACCTTTGAGATACCGAAGAGCTCGCTTGGCTGCATGCATATGAATAGGTGAAGGGGCACTCATGTGTTGAGCTAGCTTAGATACCGTGAATGCTAAGTCGGGCCTTGTGCATAGGGCTGCATACATGAGACACCCAACCTGACTTTGGTAGAGAGCTAGGTCTTGTGGGGATACCTTAAGTGAATTCTCACCATGATGCTCACTCTCCTCAAGACACAAATCCTTAATACCTATGATATCAAGGCTTGACTCTCTCTCTTCATAGGGCTGATATGAAGACAAAGGGACAAAGTTGGAAGGAAGTGGGGTAGGTGATGGCTTGCTATCATCAAGACCAAACCTCTCAAGGACCTTTTGGATGTACCTTTGCTGGAATAGGAAGATGGACCGTGACTTACGATCTCTCACAATGTTCATACCAAGATAATGACTCGGCTCACCAAGATCGGTCATCGTGAATGCACTTGTGAGAATACCTTTCACCTTGTTGAGAAGATCAAGAGAACCTGAGACTAGGAGGAGGTCATCGACATATACCAAGAGCCAAATGTACTCCCCCTCACTCGTGTGCATGAAGTACAGAGCATTGTCTCTCATGGACCTTGTGAAACCATGCTTGAAAAGTACCTGCTCAAGAGCATGATACCAAACCCGTGGGGACTGTTTGAGACCATAAAGGGACTTTACCAAGCGACACACTCGACCCGTACCGTCATCATAACCTTCGGGTTGTGCCATGTATACCTCTTCTTCCAAGACACCGTAGAGAAATGCGTTCTTGACATCCATTTGATGGATATGGAGACCAAGATATGCGGCTATGGCGAGGAGGACTCGTACCGTGGTGTACTTTGCTACCGCGGCAAAGGTTTCGGTGAAGTCAAGACCTGGAATTTGGGAATAACCTTTTGCCACTAACCTTGCCTTGTACCTATCGAGGCTACCATCACCTTTTACCTTGATCTTGTACACCCATTTGACACCAATTACCTTCTTCCCTGGAGGTGGCTCAACAAGACGCCATGTACCTCGCTTCATGAGACTCTCAATCTCTTCTTCCTCGGCTTTCAACCAATGCTCTCTCTCGGGACTTGCCATTGCCTCACGACGACTCAAGGGCTCTCGCGGAAGGTGTGATGCTGCCAAGCATATTGCCTCTACCTTCTTGTGAATGCAATTCTCACTCTCCTCACATGTGCACCTTGATGACATGTCAACCATGAAAGTGAAGGGCTTTTTTTACCTTGCGGACTCGTTTACCTTTACCAAACTCCTCACTTGGCTGAGACACATTAGTGGTAGGGTTCGGTCTCACAGTGTTTGATTGCATTGATGCGGTCATTTGCGGCTGAGACAACGGCTGCGACATCGGCTGCGACGGCGGCACGGCTGCTTGTTCTTCTCCTGGCATGGAAATATCTTGATTATCGGTGTTGACTTGAGGATTAGGTATGGTGACTCGTGGCGGTGAAGCTGAAACGTTTGTCGGCATAGTTGGTTGTGAAGATGCTCTTGGTGGGGATCTTGAGACTAGAAGCTTGGGAATTGATGATGACGCTGCCTTGTCGAGAGG